GTATTTTGCTCTAGTCATCTGCATCCCACCTGCAGTGACTCTCATCTTTAATGCAGTAGTTTGAGAATTGCTGCATTAGTAATGAGACTGATGAGACTTTAAAAGCCACTTCTCTGTGAAAATAGTGCAGATAATAGTACATTTCAAATTTGTAGTTCATTTTATGACCCTTCTGTGTTTGTAGACTACAACATTGATGCTCCGCCATCCCTGAAACCAGCCAAGAAATACTCAGACATCTCTGGACTCCCTGTGAGTAACCGTTCTGCTAAAGAAAAGAAAATATTTTAAGTTGGACAGTATTACTTTAGCCAAGTCTTGTACAAAGAACACACTGAGTAATCTCTCTTGTCTTTCCTCAGGCAAACTACACAGACCCACAGACAAAGCTGCGCTTCACATCTTCTGAGGAGTTCTCCTACATCCGTCTCCTGCCCACTGATGTTGTTACAGGCTATCTCGCTCTTCGAAAGGCAACGTGCATTGTGCCCTGACAGTCGAGCAAGGCTTCAAAGCTAAAACAGGTTCAAACCTGAACTCACCTCATGTCAGCGTAGGAAGCTGTCAGGCCAGCGAGGAGAGCAGGTAGTCTAGACAGTTGCTGGAGATCAAAAGCTGACTGTAGCTAACCGTTTGCACTGTTGTTAGTAGCAGGGTGAGCTACATCTTAATTGTTACTATGTGACAAAATCAATTAAACAAAATTGATTTTCCTTTCATCTAGAAAGATTGTGTTGCGCAATTGCTTATTCTTTTTATAAGGCATGTTTCTGTCAGTAGCTGGATGTTACATTGTAAATATCCCAGTGGGAAAAGTTCATTCAGAAGTCAGCAACAGGATGTGCTTCTGCTTATTCGTTTTAAAAAAAAATCTCCTCAAATGTAAATGTTATGTTCCCATTACGTCTCCCTTCTTCCTCCTTCCTCCCTGCTGTAGTAACTGTTTACACGCAAGTTTCTGTGTCCCACTTTGTTATAATGATCTGTGCTTTCATTGGTGGAAATGAAGAGTAGAAGACCAATTTTTAACCTGTTTTTCCCCCCCCCGTCTTTTTCATTGACTCAGTTACTTTTCATAATGTGCCTATTAAAACTAGCTTGAATGTGGTACTAAAGTTTGAGTCTCTTTTCCACCCGCGCTCTCGTAAATGAAATGTGTAAATTTACATCTTCATTTACATCTTGGATAGTCACACAGTCAAAGAGAGATGAAGCCAAAAAGGTGTAATCAATATTTTTATAAGCAGCAAATCATCAGATGGACTTAATTTCACGTATCATTTACAAAAATATAGCATTGGTTCCACAAGCAGCGTTTTACGTACAATTTACCTGAGTTAGAAATTGCACTTGGCAGGCAGCCACAATCATTTTCATAAGATATTTCATGGTGCTTTATGAAAAATTAAAGAATAAATTCTGTTGTATTTCTCATGAGAGGGATTCCTATTATGCAAATAATAAAAATACAGGCTAAACAGCACAAATAAGGATACGTGAATACGACAAGAACCACTAAGCTGTGAGCCCAACCTGTTGAGACAGCGAAACAGGTGCAACAATCTAAATAATTTCCTTCAGTTCCTCCTTGATTTTTAATTTTTTTTTTACATTTTTAAAATTTGCTCAAGATGTGTAATTACACTTTACCCTGTATCCTCCCTTCAGTCTTGAAGCCCAATACAAACAATAAGCCATGTGTTATCAATGAAGGACAAGCTGACATCTTTTCTATACAAATAAACTGATCCCACTACTGCCTGTTCAGCTAAAACCTGTATATAAAACATAAGATCACCATTGCTGTTTAACAGCAGCTAAAACACCAATAACACTATCACACTGGGTGGTATGTTCCAGAAAAACAAACACAATGCTTCAGTCCTTCTGCAAAAGACTCGTCTTACTCGTGGCTGAGTGTTCTTCCAGCTCTGGGCTGGAGTGAAGCTGATGAAGGCAGTATAGTTTATCCATGAGCCGTTCCTGCTGTGGCATCAAAACCTCAACACCGTGATTAATGAATGTCATCAGAGCTTTCTACTACCCAAGCACACAGCCCAGCAGAGTGTGTCTCCATGCGTGTGTGCATTTACATTTTGGGCCCTCTTTGCTGCGTTCACATGCCAGAAGCTACACAGTATTATGTTGTGCTTAGAGTTAGGATTTATAGAAGGCCTCAAACATGCTATGTGAGGCTTTTTTGCACGACTTATATATGAATATTTGTGACATATGCATGCATAAGTGAGTGTATCTCACCCAACAGAAATGGAAACCAGCAGGTTTTATGGTGCACTTGTCTTTGTAGTCACAGTTCATCTCCACTTGGGTGCGCCAGAGCTCTGCCCTTTCTGCCAAGTCTGTGTCCCATGATGAGTCATGGATGTCACAGCAGGGTGTCCATTTCTGAGCAAAACATTGGCTTCGTTAAGTCGAACTGCGGCAGGAGAACTTATTCAGCCACTGTGGTGGTGGAGGATAAACACTACCATCTGAGAAGTCGTCATAAATTCAAGTTTAAGAAGAGTATAATGAAAAATTAGAAATACTTCTGCTATAGTTGGGCTAGTAAAGACACAACAGAGTGAAAGCTTGCACTGACCGCCATGCAGACAGAATCCATAATTACCTTAAAGCATGTAATAGACTTTAATAAACACGAGCACACTGATTTAAACAGGCTGATGATAATTATCACTAATTTTAGTATGGGCATGGCAAAGGATGTAAGTAATCGAGGACTACAGCTCAATCATATAATAACCGTCATTAAGAAATTGATTGTGATGTGCATAAAAAGGCTCATCTCGCTTTGATGGAGGATTTGGCACCTGCTGCACTGCATAAAATGTGCGTTTTTGGAGAACGCACACGCACCGGCTGAAATCAATGAGTGACTTCTCTGTCGGTTTTGTTTTCTAGTACTTCCCTCGCTGAACTTTTGCAGTTTTCTGAAAGTTTCTGATACCCTGTGGAGACACATTCTATGATCTAAAATCGTCTTTGTGCCTATTTTCATCCAGTTTGTCTCAGTTTTTTTTCAATGTCACATTTTAGTGGTGGTGGAGCTGTACTCATTTATTTCACATCCAGCACATGGATTTTTTTTTTTACAGGGCAGCTTTTCACCTACATTATTGGGCCTATTGACTGTAAACAGGACATGAAGCAAGGAAAGCATCATTTGGGACATTTAACTCTTCAGCGGATACATAGTTGTTACCGCATGTGTTCAGGTTTGCAGAACTTATTACCAGATCAGATTCACAGCTTCACTGGCTTCACCTGTGCCCTCACATTCAGAGAGGAGCCCTCAGAACTATGTGGACACATGGGCAAGCCCTTCACAACAGACAGGGGAAACTCTAATGATAGCGGTCATGTTACATTATTCATCTGCAATCTCAAAGTATGTAAGAAAAATTGAAGAGAGCTAGTCTCAAATGCCAGGTCAGAAAAATGGACTAGCAGCTCTGGTAGGCTGATCAATAGACAAACTTCAGCTCCTGCCGAGTCAGCAGGGAAACTTTCATATTTATGTTTCTGACCTATTGGAACAGCAAAAGTAGCAGAGTGAACTTTTTTACTCCCTGTAAACAAAGACTTAACAGTCTGTATCCGTTTGATGCTACTTCAACACCTGAATTATTGTTGAAGCACAATGTTTATGTTGGACATCAGTTTCACAGTAGATTCAGCACGAAGGTAAATATCATGCCGATAACAGCGATCAACTGTTATTGGAAAATTTCAAGATGAAAATAATTCATTTTGATTCCACAGCTTCTCTCCAGACAAAATAATTTAGTAGAGCTGAAGTACTAAAAATTACAGAGATAAAACAACTAAAGAAAAAAAATATCTTTGATTTCTTTTTTGTATCTTCCACAAATCAGCTCTCACGCTGATCACATGTGGATAGATCTTAAAAAGGGCAACGCTCCCAATGTCCTTAAATTCTCGTTTCAATCTTCACGTAACCACACTGTTAGAGATGTGAGTAGTGCCACTGAATCCAAATCAAGTTCTAAACAACAGATTGGAAAGATCTGACTGGTGATGGCAGACAAACTCTCTGCGGACGGCCTCTTTTTCCATCACAGCTCGTGTTCAACACACACCAGAAAATGAGGCTGCCTGTGGACCATTCCTGTAAATGCAATATTTAATTTCTTTTGTCTGTTTATGGATTTTCTTCACTATGAGGACGGCTTCCAGTTCACAAGTCGCTCTGTTTGATCTTGTTCAGATTATATATAGAAGCTCTTTTTTGTCCTCGGGATGATGATTTAATGTGAAAAGAATGAATCTGAAATGCAGTGAAACTCTTAAACGCCCACGTATCAAGTATAGATTGTATAAAAAGATGGACATAGCTAAAAATAAAGCTAACATGTAAGTGCCTTAACGACATTGTTTCTGGTTAGGAGGCAAGAACTGTGGTCTAAAAAGACATTTGGAAAACAGGGAGACAATAAAAAAACGCTCTTGATGAGGTTATAGTTTCAGTCAGCAGTTTCACATCTTACTGATTACAAAATCCTTCTCGTGCTCATCTTTTACATACATTCTGCGTTATTAACTGATTATTAGTCTTTCACATAACAACTTGTGGATGATGATGGAGAATTTTCCCGCCTATTGCTCAGCAATATATCTTTCTGATACTGCTCATCTGCCCCACTTGTCCAATTTCCTCAAATTTCTTTAAGGCCATATTGGACACCATGCAGAGATATCCCAGGTAACAGCTCTTTGCAAATTACCTTATTGGTGCAAAAATGATATTTTATATAATATTTTACAACAAACGGTATTATCATTAGAATTTTTTGTACATTAAATGTAAAAAATAGGAATAAATTATGTTTTTGTGACTGTCTGCTAATAACAAAGCGAGGAATTAAAGTTGGTTCTTTGCTAAATTCTCAGTTATGTGTAGACACAACACTGACGCATCCCTTGAAGTGGCTGCAGCTCAAATATCTTTGGTTAGGTTAGTTGCTTTCTGATGCCTGGTTCTGAATGTGAATGTTAGAAAGTTCTTAAGCACAGGGAAAAAAGTGCTTGTGTGAATTGAGCATGTCGTATCAC